AATTATTAAGTTAAAAATATTTGATTTTAATGACACTTAAAATTAGACACAATATTATAGGTTACTAACTAAAAATTGAAAAAACAACAATAAATAATAAAAAATAATAATAAAAAATTGAAAAAATCAAAAAATTCTTAAAAAATTGCAAAATAACCCTTTTTCGGGATAAAATTGCAAAATAACCCTTTTTCGGGATAAAATTGCAAAATAACCCTTTTTCGGGTTAAAATTGAAAAATAACCCTTTTTCGGGTTAAAATTGAAAAAAGATGTTACATAAAAATAGTTTGTAAGATTTTCTAAAAGCATATATGCAATGTATTTTGATTTATTTGAAAATAATTGAAAATAGATTTTTTAAGGACGGTGTCGAGGTCACGGGGTCGGTGTCGTTTTTCGAAATTTGTTAACTTAATATAATAGAAGATTTAACATAATTTAATAATGTATCGTCGTCTATATAGTCTTTATTATTCGCCCTCGTGTCGAGTACTGATGATGTTCGTTTTTTTTCATATATAAATTTAATTCAAATCTTCGCGTTTAAAGGCACGTCAAGGACAATTTTCGGTTGTCATGTTAGTCATTCTTAACAAATTTAGTTAATTATTATGTCAGTGATCATTGTCACATTATGTCATTTGATAAAAAGTCAAGAATACAAACACGACACTAATAGAGGTTATGCTGACACTTAAAGGGAAGGAGTACATTATAATGACGACTGTAATGAAGATCTGTTGTAGATGGCGTAACTTGATAATAGATGATAAACTATATAGACTGATATTTTATATTATTTAGTACATTTTAACATTATATTGATTGATATACCTTCAATAAAATTACAACAATTTGTCCTAATTTTATTTCGACTGTTAAAAGTCAAAAATTTTTTTCAAGTCGATTCTTCTTCAACCTATTTCTTACAAAATAAATAATCGTCAAATATTCATTGTCTATTATTTATTAAATTTTTTTTGTAGAAAAAAAAAGATTCTAGAGACTAAATAGAATTGGCAAATATCAAAATATGTCGCGAGAAGGTAACAGTGTCTCTGCGTGTGTGTATCGGTGAGTGACCTTGAGCGCCACGCTTCATCGGGGTGAGGGGAGAGTGGTTATATACCAAAGAAGGTTATATACGAAATGGGTTGTAGGGGTGTGAAGAAAAAGGGTGAAACAAAGTGAAACGGCTCGTGAAGAGAATGGAAGAATCTGCACAAGGGCGGACAAAAGAGGAAGGGGAATGAAGATTGAGCGCGTGCGCAATTATGCGTGCGTGTAACGGGTGTAACGTGACTAGTATAGCGAAAGATAGAGAGAAAGAGAAAAGAGGTATGCGCACACTGTTAAAACCATAAAGGCTTTTACTTGACTCACGCAGTGTACTTGTGCGTATACATATATATACAATACAGGTACAATCATCTACAGGAGCCGGGATTGGAATAATATGGAGGGCTGAGCGCTGCTGCTGAGCCAGTGGAATGCCACAGAAAAGGTACAAACAGCACGGAAAAGGACTTCGCCAAGTCTCGCGAGACTCCTCGGACGCTGACCTCCACCCCCACCTTCTGACGTTCATCCTCTCTTATAGGGGACAATGAAACTCGCTTTTTTACATATATACAAGATTCTTTAGTATTTTTATTTACTTTTTAATAGTTTTTTTTTTTTTTACAATTTTCTTTTTCACTAACATTTATGGTTATTGGAAAGGAAAAGATTTAAGATCTAAGGAAAAAAGCTAAGATGAAATCTTGAGAGGGATTTTTAGGAAGTTATTTTTTGAATCGCAAGTTAAAGTAAACAGGGGAGTTTATCTGTCATGGATCATTTTGAATTCAAGTGCCGTTAGTTGAGCGTTGACTCTTTCAGCTCAGATCGATAGATACGTTCCTTGGAAAGAGCTCGTTTGAAGAAGCCGATAGTGTCCGATAGTGCCCGATAGTAGCCGATATGGCAACGTTAACGGGAGAGGCACATTATTAGCATGATTTAATTGCACACAGAACCGGCATGAGTCATTGACACCTCTTCGATACTTGAAAACTAAAAAGAACTTATTCTTATCATACAATTATAGAATTATCATTTTTTTTCTAAATCCAAATACTTTATGGGAGAGCAATTGTTTTTCCGTATCTCTGTTATTTAAAATCAGTTCCAAAAATATTTTCATCAGGAAATTAAAATCAAAATCAGAATTACCAAACCACCTACTTCTCTTTGGATTGATATATAATTTTATTCAATTATTTTGTGCAAGATTTTGAAATCATCAAAACAATGGATATATATACATATATGCTGGAGAGAAGCAGGGCACTTTGCGAGAGAGTAAAGTGCTGCTAATAGGACACATGCTATGCAAATGCCACGCCCTAGAATCTAGAATAACCCCAGGGATGGCAAGCGTGATTTAAGCTAAGCTAATTATGCGACTGGTCGGGTCAACGTTTCTCATTACATCTATAATTACATAAATACATGTATGTTTAATGCAAGATACGACCTCTCCTTCTACATTAACTGGAATTATCTCTCTCTCTCTCTCTCTCTCTGACAAAAACATGAACATAAATTGACAAAGATTTTTCATACTTAATTTTAGATAGAAAGATTTCGATTTTCTACCAAAAAAAAAATTATTGTGCAATAATCTTTTGTTCTCGTAAAGATAAACGCATTTAATTACCTTATGAGTACTATTAAAGGATGATGATATGAACTTTGAAAAAGAAATACTGATTCTGAATAATAAAATCCATAGAATAATGTCATCCATTGGACGATATAAAATCCCACGTGACTCCAGAAAGCTTGACCTAATTGCAAGAAATCCTTGATGCTCCGCAAGAGGAACCTTGTGACACTTTGTTGCGCTCTTAAATCGCTTATAATAATAACTCGACATCCTAAAGTTATTTCATTTTCTCTTCTTGCTGTCAATTTTAATAAGAAATTATCTATATTTTCTTAATCCGAACTTAGAAGAATATATAATTACATCGATTTCCTCTGAATGGGAAAAAATTTTCTAATTTGTTTTCTTTTTTGCGGAATATATTTCATATGATTTCAGAATCGATGCCTTTTGAATGATGTAGAGAATTTTTTTTTTAAATATGATTTTACAATGCGTGTACATGATATAGTAATATTGAATGTTTTCAACGTCCGGTGGAATAATAAGACTGTTTTATAAATTAATTGCTGTGAAATAAACTGCAATTTGCGTTCACAGATTTTGGAATATATAAAAGGCTTTTGTTACTATGTTTTTTTTTTTAAAAAAATGTTTTCTATATGAATTTTTTTAATTTTTGTAAATTTTTCGTTGGATTGACAATCCATTTTAAATACATTTATAATTAAATTCCAATTCTGAATGTATAGGTTCATTTTAAAAGTTATTTAGACTTTTAAAATTATTTATTGTCAACTTTTGAAAATTGATTTATAAACTGGTACACTGGAAAACAAAAATTTATTTGATTCTAATAATCGGTTACTTGACTATTATCAAAAATAAATATTTATTTGAATTAAATAAACTTTTTTTGAATCAATAAAGGTTGGTTTCCATTGTCCCCGCACTCGCCATTTGTCATAATTCTCGTCAACTACCGCACCTTGCTCTAGTAAAAATTTTAGTGACTTTATTGTTAAAATTAAAAAGTTACTAAATTTTTACTAGAGCAGGGTGCGGTAGTTGATGAGAATTATGACAAATGGCAAGTGGGGACAATGAAAACCAACCTAAATTCTGAATTTGAAAGAAATACCATTTAATTGAGTCAAATAAATATTTATTTGACAAAATATTTATTTGACACAAATACATATTTAATACAAATAAATATTTATTTGATAATAGTCAAGTAACAGAATATTTGAATCAAATAAATTTTTTTTTCAGTGTAGGTTTTTGGAAATTCTTTAACAAATTCAAAAATTCTAATGATTAATTTAATTGCTTAAATAAAGAAATTGATAATATTTCATCTGTAAAATAAATTGTCTATTCGAAACTATTATTAAAAGTATTGAATTATTGAAACTAATGAAATTATTGGAAATTGTAAATAATTATCAGAAACTTGATCAAATGTCAGTATATTAATCTATTTTGACCTTGATCTTCGGCTTAACCTAACATATTCTAATACAACTTCATAAATATACCTTATACCGAATGGAAAGAAAAAACTTCAAGTGATTTTTGTTTAGAATTTATTTTTCAATACATCGTTTTGTTATATTTTTTTAATCATATGATAATTAATTTTAATTGCAAAACACAATGTAAATTAAAAAATTTATTTCTGTCAATACTTATGTAGTTTGAGGTTAGGTTAATAACCAAACGAAACGATTTGTCATAATTTTCTGTCAACTACCGCACCCTGTTCTAGTGAAAATTTAGTGACATTCGGTTTGTTTACAATTGTCCCCATTGACAATTTGCCTTTACTGCAGCTTGCTCTAGTGAAAATTTAGTGACTTTATTGTTAAAATTAAAAAGTTACTAAATTTTCACTAGAGCAGGGTGCAGTAGTTGACGAGAATTATGACAAATGGCGAGTGCGGACAATGTCAACCAACCATTCTAGATAAAATTAAAAGTTACTAGAAAGTCACTAGGGTTGGTTTGCATTGTCTCCACTCGCTAAAGTCTCCATTCGCTATTTGTCATAATTCTCTTCAACTACCGCACCCTGCTCTAGTTGACGAGAATTATGACAAATAGCGAGTGGAGACAATGGAAATCAATCATTTAAACACAAATTCCAGATTAAAATAACATTTTGCTTTTCTTGTAAACATAACCTAAAATTTAATTTCATAAATCTAAACTTTTGTCTTCTTGAAATAACGGCAGTGATATTTTTTTTTTTTTTGCTATTATTAAGTGATAATATGAAAAAATTTGAAAAATTTTTTTTTTTTTTTAATTAACAAAATAATTAATATATTTTCGAATGTTGATAGGTGTCTGCGGGACAACATATGCAGTTAACGGGTGATTTGAAGCCTGGCGTGTCTGTTGCTGCTCAGCAAGGAATGTACTTCAGTCAACAGCAGGCGCAAAATCAGACGGGTCCAGGTGGACAGGCCGATTCCTATTGTACAGTGTCGCAATCGCAAACGATAAACTTCACGCAGCAAAGTATTAGACAAAGGGCGGCGGCAGCTGCAGCGGCCGCAGCAGCCGCTGGTGGTGTTCCACAATCGGCTGGTGCACCAGGAGGACCTGGAGCACCAGGGGCACCGGGGGCGCGGAATCATCCTCAACAGGTGCCTCAAGGTCAAGTTGTTGATCAACATCAGCATGCAAAACTTCTTCAACAACAACAAATGATGCGCGCTCAACAGGTTTGTTGATAAAAATAATTAAATCTGCAATTTTTTTTTTTTTTTTTTTTTGGTTCACTTTGTCACTAGTTTTGTATTGCTTTTTTTTAAAGGTTGGTTTCCATTGTTCCGACTCGAAAAAATCCCTCTACTTGCAATTTTCATAATTCTCGTCAACTAACGCACCCTGCCCTAGTAAAAATTAAGAAACTTTATTGTTAAAATTAAAAGTTACTATAAAGTTACTAAATTTTTTAGCTCTAGTAAAATATAGTGACTTTATTGTTAAAATTAAATTTTACTATAAAGTTACTAGATTTTTATTAGGAGCAGGGAGCGGTAGTTGACCGAGAATTATGACAAATGGCGAGGGGAGACAATGGAAAGCAACCTTTATCCTAAAGACGGTAATTTACGTCAGACGGTCAGAAAGAGAAAGAAGATTGCGGTAATTTACCAACTTGTTTTTTTCTTTGAGAATTGATGAGAATTTATGAAAATTCTTTAAATAACTGATATTTCAATAGACAGTGACCAAAGTTGTTTAAAAAAAGCAAAAAACGTATACTGCACAAACGCATCTTAACCTTGCTTTTTCAATGACTTTGGTCAGTTTTATTATTTTGGTTGGTTTTCATTGTTCCTACTCGCCAAAATCACCACTCGACATTTATCATAATTCTCCTCAACTACCGCACCCTGCTCTAGTGAAAATTTAATAACTTTATAGTAAATTTTAATTTTAACAATAAAGTTACTAAATTTTTACTAGACCAGGATGCGGTAGTTGACGAGAATTATGACAAATGGCGAGTGGGAAGAATGGCAACCAATTTCTGTATAAAAAATGTTCAAATTTGTAGAAAATTTTTTTTTAAAATATTTTAAACACAAAAGCATTAAGGAAAAATGGTACACATTATCATAACCTCAAAATTGAGAAATTTTATTTTTTAACAATTTAACGAAAACAAAATTATGATTAAAATTAATTGCAACCAATTTTCGAAGACCTTATTGTTAATTGCAGAAAAACGCTGTTGATTCAAAATCTTTTTTTAAATAATTATTATTTTTTAACATTACAATTTATTGTTTTTTCTTCTAAAATTGATTGCAATTAATTTTAATTATAATTTTATTTACTCTAAATCGTTAAAAAATAATTTCTCACTTTTGAGGTTATGTTACCATGTTACATTTTTCTTCAATTCAACAATCGATTGTTATTTTTTTTCGAATACTCGCATATTATATTTTCGGTCAATTTGTTAAATTGAAAACTTGATTCATTTTCAAAAATTTTAACTTTCAACAATTATGATGGCATTTGATAAAAAAAAATTTTTTTTTAATCAAACTAATGGATTTAATAAAGTTAAATTCTATACTTGTATAATAATTCCGGAATATATTGATATAAAAAAATTGTATTCCCTGAATAGTGGGAAATATATATATGTACTTTATTTAAAGCGTTTTAATTTTTAAATATTGTTTAAATCAATAAGCGATAAAATTTATTAATTATTAATTTAAGGGAAGTGAATGAAAGGGAATTTTTTTTTTTTTATTAATTTTTTTTATAAAATTAAATAATACTTGGTATTTTGTTTGAGTAATTGTAGTTAGTTAGCGCGATTGAACGGCAGAAGGGTAAAGCAGTTGATAGGATGACGTGCGCTTTGTGCTCGCGCTATTATCGGACAGATTAAATTATCCGTAAATGGTCGTCGAGACGCGTATATGCAACAGGTACTTCCCGTGCTTTGCGATTTTTATTCGCTTATGATGAAAAAAATTCAGAACATATCAGCATATATATATATATATATATATATATATATATATATATCTATATTATAAAAAGATTTCGCCGCTGTCTTCAGTATGGGTCATTCCATGTCAAGTGTACCCAACCCATGTTTTTGACAAGGTTAGGTTAGATTTTGTTAGGTTAGATTAAGTTAGATTAAGTTAGGTTAGGAATGGGTCATTCCATATCAAGTGTAACCAACCATTGTACTGACCATTTCAAAAACATGGGTTGGTTACACTTGATATAGAATGACCCATATATATATACCTATATTAGTATTTTAGTACTGATTTTAACCTCAAACCCACAAGCGAATTAACGTGGAATGACCCATCGTTGTCTCCAGGATTGTACTAACCATGTCAAAAACATATAGGTTAAAAATTAATATAACATCAATACTCAAAGCCAAACGACAAAAATAACCTCAAAAAATCAAAGTCCTAGGTTCCCAGTATTTAAAGTCATACATCAAACATAACCTTAAAATTCTAAGGCATAGATTTCTAGGATTCAAGGCCTTAGTTCAAACATATACCCAATGGGCAAAAAACCATGTTTGTTCTAATAAACGTTTTAAGGACGTTTTTAGAATGTTTCATGTCCGCTAAATAATGTTCTTGAACATTTTAAGAACATGGATATTCGAATAATGTTCCAGAACATTATTTGGCAGACATGAAACGTTCTAAAAATGTTCTTAAAACTTTTTTAGAACGAACATGGTTTTTTGCCCACTGGATAACCTCAAAATTCAAGGTCATAGGTCAAACATAACCTAAAAATTTGTCAAGAGACCGATGGGTTTAAGGTTATACCCGACAAATTCCCCTATAACCAAGAAACGAACATAACCTCAAAATTTAGATAAAATTTTAATAATTTTAATTTTTAATGTTTACAAGCCAGATTTTTTTTAAATGTTTACCATTTTTAGTGGATATATAACTAAAGAAACAATTTTTGAAATTTTCTTTTGAATATCGTTTTTTTTCAAGAATAACAATCGTAAAAAATGGTTTTTTAAATTTCTTCACGTGGTTTGAACGTGCGAATCACATTTTTACAGTATGGGTGATTCATTTTAATCATTAATAATCAATTTATGAAGACAATGTTTTCAGTTCCGTATACTTTTTTTTGTGATCCAGTTATTGAATGTTTTGCCTTTTTGTATATATATATACAAGAGCATAATTCTCGAAAGCATATGTATTGTTTCTTTAACGTTCATTATTTACTTCCTCTAACCTTCACTCTTTCATACTTTATTAGTTGCGAATGTTTGAATTAAAATCACTTTTCTTATACCTTTACAGCGCAATAGGATTTGTCAATATTTTTTTTTCTAAACCTCCATTTCCTTTCAAAACCTTCACTTTTATATATATATAAATATTCACTCATAAAAAGTTTTATTTAAACCAAATACTATACAATTTTTTTATAATTAACACAATTTTTTGATTATTTCAAACAAAATTTCTTTGATTCATATAAATATTTATTTAATCTAATTAAACATTTGGTTTATTTTAATAAATTTTTCAAAGAAAGAATTTGATTGAACCAAATAAAATTTTGATTGATTCAAACAAAATTTTGATTGACTTTATATAGCAATTGCATTTATTTGGTTGATTTAATTAAAATTTCGTTGTTTCTAAAAAAAATTTTTTTCTGTGTGTTTACAAATTTCAAAAATTATGCATTACAATTATATTGTGTAAATTATTTTTTATCTCTTCAAGTTTGAAAAAATGAAGAAAAAAAACCGTGTGCAATGTCATCGTTACTTTATCGCTGGAACGTGTTGAATGACAATGATAACATAAAAAAAGTGCATGATCTGAAAATAAGCATTCTTACGTAAAATTTAAATATTATTATATTTTTAGGAAATTAAATTTGTTGTACTTTTATCATATATATATCTCTGAGGGTTTATAGTTGTTATAGGCAAAAAAAAAACAGATTGATATTCGATATTTTTTTCATTTTATAAATTTTTACTTTGCGTTTGCTAAGATTTAAAAATTTTTAAAGCTAGGTCTAAGGTTTAAGGTTATGTTTGCCTTTAATCTTTTCTCAAAATTTTAAGGTTATGTTTTACCTTCTATCTTGCTTGAAAGATAGAGGCACGAAGTATATAGTATAAGGAGACATATCACCTATGGCCGGCTCTAACGGAATGTAGCCCTGTTTTCGGTATTCACGCAGTTCTCAAGTTTTCATTAATCTATTTACACTTGCGCCTCTAGAGGGAAACCTCGGTATTAAAATCACGTTTTTACAGAATACAGAGTTTAATACCACAATTTCCCGCGGTTGGCGCAAGTGTAATTAGATTGGTGAAAACATGAGAACCGTGCGAATACCGAGAACGGGGCCATCTTTTATATACAGCGATATGTCTCTTTATATTATTACTTCGTGGATAGAGGTTATGTTGAAAATTTTGAGGTTATGTTCGCATTGAATTTTAAGGTTATGTTCGCCATTGTACCTATTACATTGTAATTTAATTTTCAATTTTGAGGTTATGTTCGCCCTTGTTCCTATCACATTGTCATTTAACCTTCGATTTTGAGGTTATGTTTGTCCTAGTACTTATCATATTGTCATTTGACATTCAATTTTGAGGTTTTATTTGTCCTAGTTATCATTTAATTTTCAATTTTGAGGTTATGTTCGCCCTTGTCCCTATCACATTTTCATTTAGCTTTCAATGTTGAGGTTATGTTTGTCCTAGTATCTATAACATTGGCTGTTTTCGGTGTTCACCCTGGGTTAACACAGAGTTAACGATGGTCCAATCATCATTAACATTCTGTTAGATCTACCAATCACAATTAACTCAGAGTTAATCCAGGGCGAACGCCGAAAACAGCTATTGTCATTTGACCTTCAATTTTTGAGGCTATGTTCTTCCCTGTACCTATCTTCCTTGTCCTTGTAATTTGAGGTTATTTTCATCTTTTCACCTAGATTTGAATTTTTGAGGTTATGTTTACCGATTTTAATTTTAAACCAACCTAGATATCTTAATCCAAATTCTTCACTTAATTTTGAGGCTATGTTCGTCTTTTCACCTAGATTTGAATTTTTGAGGTTATGTTTACCGATTTTAATTTTAAACCAACCTAGATATCTTAATCCAAATTTTTCACTTAATTTTGAGGTTATGTTCGTCTTTTCACCTAGATTTGAATTTTTGAGGTTATGTTTACCGATTTTAATTTTAAACCAATCTAGATATCTTAATTCAAATTTTTCACTTAATTTTGAGGTTATATTTAGCAAATTTTAACCACAAAACTAGTGGCCATTTGATGTATGCGATTTTTTTATACTGTAAAAAATAGTTTGATAGTTGAAAAAAAAATTTTTTTTAATTCTATATATAGAAGAAATGCAAAATATGAAAATTGATTGTAAATAAAGCTAATGACATTATTATTATTATTATTATTATTTTAAGGTGATGCAGCAACAACAGCAGCAGCACATGGCAGGAAGTATGGGAGGTGTAAGGCCACCGCCTCCGGAGTATAAAGCAGCGGCTCAAGCGCAAATGATGCATGCAGGAATGGGAATTGGTCAACAGGCCAGGTTTCCCAATGCTGGTACAATGCGTAGAGTTACGCAGCAACCTATGCCACCTTCGGGTAAGTGCAATCCTAATAAATAAAAATAATATTATTATTATTATTATTATTATTTATTATCATATTTTATTATATTATATAATATAAATATTAGATCTATTTGAATTCATTATATCGAGAAAAAAAATATTCTTCGTTTAAGAGGATTTCTGCAAAGCACTTCTTTTGCAATGTGGTATTACAAGGACGTCCTCTTAATTTGAGAGGAATATTTTTTTATTTTTGAAACAAATGCAAATTATCTTTAGTAAATCCTCTTAAATGGAGAGGTATATTCTTCAATCTACGATATATTATTATTAATTTGATTTGACAAGATTCTCAATGTGAGAGGAAACCCTGGCGGATCTCGAAATCGGAATGTACGCTGAATTCGTTGTACATTCGTTACACATTGGTTAAATATTTAGTTGGAGTGAATATTGTGTAGAAACTGCGTGGAAACTGTGGAAAAGTGTAATTGAATTGAATAATAAAAGTATTTAGTGATAGATTTGTGCTGTATTTGTGATAAATTAACGTGTTATTATTAAATAAATAAAATTTAAAGTGTAAAATGTTCGCGTAAGTGAGTTTGACAGGCTAGGGAATTTTCTAGTGACATCCGAATTGATAGTCGATAAGGAAGTTAAGCCGCCGACTTTGCACGGTAGGTGGCAGCATTCATACTTTCTCCTTTTTAAAAATTCTCTTTTTCAATTGTAAATAGAAAAATTAATTAATTAATAAGTTATATAGTTTCTAGGTTGTCATTTTTTTTAACAATTGAATTTTTGAAGATTGTTTAATGAGATAAATTAAACTTGTATAAACGATGCAAATTGTTGTTTTTTAATTAAATTCAATTAAATTAATTTAATCATAATTTTAATAAAGAAAACTTTTTTTATCTTTCTTTATTTTATTATTATTTATTTTTAATATAAATGTAATTAAAAGAAAAGATTTATTTAAAAGTATTTTAAAAACAACAATTTGCATCGATTATACAAGTTTAATTTATCTCATTAAACAATCTTCAAAAATTCAATTGTTAAAAAAAATGACAACCTAGAAACTATATAACTTATTAATTAATTAATTTTTCTATTTACAATTGAAAAAGAGAATTTTTAAAAAGGAGAAAGTATGAATGCTGCCACCTACCGTGCAAAGTCGGCGGCTTAACTTCCTTATCGACTATCAATTCGGATGTCACTAGAAAATTCCCTAGCCTGTCAAACTCACTTACGCGAACATTTTACACTTTAAATTTTATTTATTTAATAATAACACGTTAATTTATCACAAATACAGCACAAATCTATCACTAAATACTTTTATTATTCAATTCAATTACACTTTTCCACAGTTTCCACGCAGTTTCTACACAATATTCACTCCAACTAAATATTTAACCAATGTGTAACGAATGTACAACGAATTCAGCGTACATTCCGATTTCGAGATCCGCCAGGGAAGTGCTAGATTCCCGTGTATTTTTATCCTCTTAAAAAAAGAGGAAAATTATATCAGCTGATGAGTAATACTCTGATTTCAAGTAGAGGATTTTAGAAATAGAAACTTCTTAAACAGAGAATATCATTTTTCCGCTTTAGATATAGAGAACGACTTTTAGGTTAAGTAATGTTAGATGAGAGAAATTATATTAAAAAAGTTAAAATAAAAATTTCAAGAACTTTTACAGATCATAAATAGTAATTCTTTATTTACTAAAAATATTCTAATTTAAATTATTAGTTTTTAATTTTTTAAAAAAAAATTTTTTTTAAATTCTAATTTTCGAAAAAAAAAATCCTTAACAGATAATATTTTCTGTGGTAGATATATTTTATTGCAGCGAGTCTGTTTCCTTCGATTTCTCCTCTCACTTGTGCGCTTGTAATATAGTCTCCAGCAAATGTTAGTTCCATGTATATTGGCTTGTAGCCAGACTTAAGGAGCACTCAAAATAATGAAAATGCGTCATTATTGATTTCTCCATGTATATATATATATATATATACTTGTTGTAATTTTTCTGTTTCTCTTTTCAATATTATATTTAGATTTCAAAAAAAAAAAATCATTGGTTAAAATTTTTATTTTTAAAGAATTTTGTAAAATATATAAAAATTGGTTTTTAGACGAATTTTTATGTTTTTAATTAACATTTGAGAGAATTTGTTTTTTTTTAACGAATTTTTAATTAAGAGAAATTTTTAGGTTATTTTTGTTTTACAGAATTTCTCTTTATCAAACTTTTTATTTAGCAAACTTCTCATTTAACCGAATATTAATTTAGCAAAATTCTCATTTAAACGAATATTAATTTAGCAAAATTCTAATTTAAACGAATATTAATTTAGCAGAATTTTCATTCAATAGAATTTGAAGTGATTCGAATTTTTAAATGCCCTAATTTTCAATATATTTAATCTTCATTTATACGAATATTTATTTACACGAATTTCTAATTGATAGAATTTTCATTTGTCCGTAATTGCAAATGGCCGAACAATTAATCGATTTTGGCGGGATTTTTTTTTAAAATCAACCAATCACAATTTTATGGATAAATTTTGATTGGTTGATTTTAAAAATAGCGCCGAAATCGATTGTTTGTTCGGACATTTGCAATTTCGGACAAATGAAAATTTTATCAATTAGAAATTCTGTTAAATGATTTTTCGGTTAAGTAAAAATTCTGCAGAAAAATCGGTTTTATGGAAATTATATAAAATAATAAATTCGAACAAATGAAAATTCATCTAAAAGAATAAAATAAAAATTCTTTAAAATGCCCTGATTATAAAAATTCGAGCAAACAAAAATTCTAACAAATAAAAATTCTGTGAACTGAATTTTTGGTTATACAGGGTGTCTAACGGTCAGGGAAAAGTCAGGGAATTTCTTTAATTTTGTGGAATTTTTTATAAGTAAATTAAAGTTACTATTAGTTTCAAAATTTTTTTTTACTTTTTTTCCAAAGCAAATGCAACTTAAAAAATTGGCCTTCACACTCAATTATTAAGCATGTGATATATATCTTATTTTTATTAAGTAAATAATTATTTACTACTATTTATTGAATCTAATAAATGATTTTTAAAACTTGGATAACAATTAATTAATTTTTTCCAGTGAAATATTTGCTTTTTTAATATAGATATAAAAATTATTTGATACAATTTTATTTTATCGGTTCAACTTGAAATAAAGTAAATTATTCATTATAATACGAATAATTTATTATTTAATTGCTAATACACACATTTAACTTATAAAAATTTTTACGACGTCATATATTAAATAATCGAATTTCTATTTAGCAAAATTGTATAAAGTAGATTTTATATTATGCAAAATTTTCAATTTACATTTAACTAAAATTCGATTTAAAAGAATTTCTATTTAGCAGAACTCTTATAAAGCATTTTTTCTAATAATTTTTTTAAAAATTTTAAATTAATATAATTTCAATTTAACGAAATTTATGTCTATAAAAATTGACAAAAAAAAAGAACTAAGTAGAATTTTTCTTAAATGAGAATTCTGTTAAATAAGAATTAGTTCGAATTAAAATTTTCTTTAATAAAAATTTTGTTAATTAAGAATTTTGTTAAATAGAAATTCTGTTAATTGTGGATTTATTCAATGACAATTCTGTTAAGTAAATATTATGATAAATCAAAATTTACTAAAATAACAATATTCTGTTAAAAAAAATTTTTCTTTATGCAATTTTTCTTGACATAAATTCCGTTAAATTGAAATTGTATTAATTTGAAATTCGATGTACTAGAAAATCTGCTTTATATAATTTTACTAAATAAAAATTTGATTAAGATTTGGCGCCGTAAAAATTCTTTTAAATTAAATGTTGAGAATATTTATACTTCTCTAATTAAGTTTATTTATTTCACTTAAATATTTTATTTATTATGAAATATTATTTATTTGGTTCAAATACATATGAAATTAGTGGATAATAGACAGGTAAATGATTTAATTGTATTAAAAAAAATTTTATTTGATCAAAATACAAATTTTTTACTATAATTTAGGTGAAGGAAAAAATCAGTAAAAAGTCAGGGAATTTTTTTCCTAGCAGTTATTAGACACCCTGTTATATAAAAATTGTGTAATATGGAAAATCATTTTGATGAAGATTCTGTAAAATACTAATTCTAAACAAATAAAAATTCGGCTCAAAAATAATTATGACAAATGAAATTTCATAAAATGAAAATTCTAACTAATGATTTTTAGAACATAATCATGCGTCCCAACAGTAATATGTTTTTGCAAAGAACATTAATACTGTCTGATTTGGAACATGCTGCAATCCAAGTACTTTTATAGTATTCTTCGTACAATTTCTTTCATTGTATAAATTATTAACCCTAGATGATCAGCAAGATTTAAGAGCTGTAAAATTTGTCAAAATTAGTTACTTTGCAAATGAAAACTTGATGTTGTGGAATTTACAGGTCCAATGATGAGGCCCCAAATGGCACAACAACAACAACAGCAACCACAACAGCAGCAGCAGCAGCAGCAAACGTTACATGCAGCTGGTGGCAATATGTATATGGGAGGTGGTGGAATGGCCGCAATTGGAGGTATGCATCAAATGCATCAGAGGCTAGGATATCCGAGAACCAATAATCAACGGCCGCCGAATGTCAGTGTAGGACCAACAGATAATATAGGCAATAGTATCGCTGGCCGTGGAGCTCAGCAGGAATGGCGGCATCTTTTAATGCAGCAGCAAAATTTCCAAGCTCAAATGCGACCACAATTCAATCAACAGGGACATCAAGGTATTTATTTTGGAATTTTATCATTTTTTTTTAATGAAATCAAAAAATATTTCTCAAAAGCACAAATTGAACAAAATAAAATTGGACCATTTAGAATTAAATTACCTGCAATTTGAAAATTGATTAAAAAATCGTTTTCATCTAATTAGGTGGCTTTGGTATGGGAAATACGGGAGGAATGCAGATGAATGCAGCACAAATGCAACATCAACAACAACTTCAAAGATCTCAAAGTGGCGGTATGGGTGGAACTGGTATGCCCAACAATTCACAAATGCAACAATTGTTGACGCAACAACATCAACAGCAGACCCTTGTGATGCAACAAAACAATAATCAGATGTCCATGCAGATGCAAATGTCGCAATCGAGTTCTGTAACTAGCACGGGAACTGGTATGTAAATTCAATTTTTTCTTTTCACTATCTAAATTCAGCCAAATTAAGTATTTAATTGTTTATTATAAAGAAATTAAAGATTAATATTATCAATAATAATTTAATTTATTAGAATATTATTACATATTAAATAATAACAATAAAAATTATATGTTTACAGGCCTCGGATTATACGACTTTTTCCGACTTTTTTTTCAAAAATATGACTTTTATCGACTTATTTTAATAAAATGCGACATTTTTTTTTTACATTTGAAAATAAAATGTAAATAAAATACCATTGTTTTTGTATAAAATGTAGATCTTCTTCAGATCTTGTTCAATTCAATTATTTAACAAATTTTGAACTAAAATGATTTTTCACTAAATTAATTATTTTTAATAATTTTAATTAAATACATCACAAATTCAATTATATCAAAATTATTTTTTCAATTAAAATTTTAATGAAATTTAATAATTGTTTATAATTTAAAAAAAATATCACAATAAAATTGAATTATTTTTTGAAAATTTCAATTCAAAATAAACTAAAATTCAATTATTACCTAAAATTTTAATTCAAAATCAATTAAAAATCCAATAATTATCCAATATTTTCAATTTAAAATTTAATTATCCAAAATTTTCAATTTAAAATTTAATTGTTTACCAAGTTTTCAATTTAAAATGAAATAAAATTCAATTATTTTCTATCTATTCATAATTAATTATCCAAATTTTCAATCAAGGCCAGGTTTAAGTGAGGCAGTGCCATCTACATTGAAACTAAAATTTTGGAAAATTTTCAACAGCCTTTTCTTGAAAACAAAAAGGTAAAATGCTTTTTCCTTTATGGATAATTGATTATTGGCAAGATATACACTAGCTAAAACTTTTTTTGAGTTAAAATAATAAAAAAAATTTCATGTCAATAAATTAAATATGAGCACTTTTTTCACAAAAACTGTAACAGTACTTTCTCAGAAATTACAATCAAAAATGCAATTTCCATTTGGAAAATTAATAAACGCTAAAAAATACACGACCTAAGATTTACCAATCACGAAAATAACAAAAAAAAATTTTATTAAATATTTAACATATTGATACTGCTTTACTGATTGTGACAGCCCTTTGGTAGATTATGTATTTCAGGTGGTTAGCAACAGCGCCAATCTCCTCCTTTCGGCAAAACTGCGAAACATCTGGTGACATATATAACCTGCCAAAAGGCTGTCATAATGAGTAAAATATGTTATGTTAAAATACTTTTTTTTGTTATTTTCGTGATTGGTAAATCTTAGGTCGTGTATTTTTTAGCGTTTATTAATTTTCCAAATGGAAATTGCATTTTTGATTGTAATTTCTGAGAAAGTACTGTTACAGTTTTTGTGAAAAAAGTGCTCATATTTAATTTATTGACATGAAATTTTTTTTATTATTTTAACTCAAAAAAAGTTTTAGCTGGTGTATATCTTGCCAATAATCAATTATCCATAAAGGAAAAAGCATTTTACCTTCTTGTTTTCAAGAAAAGGCTGTTGAAAATTTTCCAAAATTTTAGTATCAATGTAGATGGCGCTGCCTCACTTGGACCTGGCCTTAAATTAAATTATTATCCAAAAATTCAATTAAAATTCAATTATTTCCCAAAAATTTGAATTCAAAATTAATTGAATTTTCAATAATTTGAATTTATAAGCATCTTAAATTTAATTATTTCTAAAATTTTCCATCGAAAATTTTTTTTTTTTGAAATTTAATAATTTCAATTATAACTCTAAGGAAATTCAATTATTTTTAACTATTTTAAGAATATTCTTTGAAATTTCAACTATCTGAAACCATTTTTCAATTCATAATTTTTTTTTGTATTTGTATACAATTTTTGAATGAATATACAAGTTTAAAAAAAATTTCGTTGGTAAACGTTGTGTACTTCAGCTTCATGAATTGAATTTTCGACTTTGGAATTTTAAAGAAACTTATTCCGAAATTTGGAAACACAATTATACAACTTTGGCAAAAATGAGAAAAAGAATTGTCAAAATTTGACACGTCATAAGATTACTATTCAAAAAAAACACGTGAAATCAGAAAAGGCCAACTTCAAGTTAGGACAGAAGGACAGACCAAGCATTTTATTATTATATAATTGGAAATGAGGCAAACATTTTTGAACTGAGCCACTTGAAACAGGCTTTTTTGAAATAATTTTATTACATTCAAATAGTTTAAAAAGACTCCTGGAATTTTCTAAAATTTTCATTTTTCAAATTAGCTATAAAATAGATTTTTTTTTTGCAAATTCATAGTAGTGTGTACGAAATCCTGAGAACAAAAAAAATTATCAATTTGGCTTGAAATTTGTTACTCGGGGGTTTTTAGAGTTGCTGATTACGATTCTGAGGTCAGACTTTCAAAATTCAAAATGTCGGATCTAATATGGCGGACGAATTTTGAAAGTCTCACCTCAGATTTATAATCAGCAATCCCAAAAAACCACCGAGTAACAAGTTCGAAGACAAATTGATAATTTTTGCACGACTCGTCTGCCATATTGGATCCGACATTTTGAATTTTGAAAATCTGACTCTTTTTGTCATGTCATATGTATCAATAAAAAATAATCCTTTAAGTTAAAGTGCCCAAAAGAATTCATAAATCAAAAATAAACTAAAAAAATCGTGTTTTTTATTAAAAAAAAAATTGCCTGCAATTTGATTCAGTACTAATTTTCAAAAATAATTTAAAGTTACATAAAAAAAAATAAAATTTTTCAAGTCTGATTAATGCACATTATTCGAATTCAAAAATTCGGAAAATGTTTTAAATAATTAAATTTTCCAACAATTTGATTAAAATATTATTGAAAAAAAAAATTAATTTTAAATGAAAATTTTTCGAAATAATTGAATTTCATAAGATTTTTAATTAAATTTTTTTAAAATAGTTGAATTAGAAAGAATTTGATACAAAATTTTTTAGAAATAATTGAATTTCAATTTTAAAATTGAAATTCATAAATTTTAATTGAAATTTTTTTTTGTTTACAAACATTAAAGAATAATAGAATTTTACAGTATTTTCAATTTAAAAACTTTTTATTTCCTTGAATTGTTAAAAAACTGTATTAAAGTAAATAAGAAGATTAATTAAGCGGAGAATTTTTTAAGAATTTTCAATTTAATTTGTTTTAAAAAAATGAATTTCAGAAGATTTTTAATTAAAATTTTCGTAAATTGGAATTTTTGTAAATATTTTATATGCTTTAAACAATAATTAAACTTTAAAGAATTTTAAATTGGAAAATGTTTTAAATAATTGAATTTTCGAAAATCTTGATTAAAATTCTTAAAATTAAATTATTCAACAATTTGAATTTTAAATAAAAAAAAAATTTAGAAATAATTGTATTTTAGAAGAGTTTGAGTTAAAATTTTTAGAAATAATATTTGAATTTCAGGAGATTATTAATTGAAACATTTTGATTTGGTGAAATTTTTTTTAAAAACTTTAGATAATAATTGAATTAGACAATAATTTCAATTGAAAATTGTTTTAAATCATGTAGAATTTGTTTTTAATTTTTGAAAATAATTGATTTTGCAAAAAATTCAAGTTAATATATTTTTTTTAATAATTGAATTTTAAAAAATAAAAAACAGTACAATCCGAGGTCTATTATTGAAAACCTCTTGAAATATTTTTAATTAGGGTCTGAGAAAATATTTTAATTTTTTGATAGAAAATCAGGGAAAAACAAAATAATATTTTTGTGTCAACCCTGCACAGTTTAGAAGTAAAAATTAATGTTTGATTTTATTTTTTTTTTAAATAAAAATAAATTTCTATTTCTCAGGTTCACCGATGCATCCACATCAGCAATACGGTGGTGGAAGTCCAGGTGTTCGAGGTCTACCTCAACAACAACAACAACAACAGCAACAACATTCTCAGCCCTCACAACCAGATCCATCGATAGGAACAGCGGACTTTAATTTTGATCTTTTGGACAATTTGCCTACTGGTGATGCAGCCAATTTTAGTGCCCAGGAACTTCTTAATTCGCTAGATCAAACTGCTGGTTTTAATCTCGACATTCTGTAAAAAAAAAAGAAAGAGAAAAGAACGTGTGAAGGGAATCCAAAACTTGAATATTCTTCTGAGATTTCCCAAGAATTTACCCTTCCGAAAAAAAAAAAACAATTGCCATTGGTTCTCTTTGTGACAATGAGTGTTTTCACTCCAACATAGAGAGAATTCATAAATTCTCTTCACTGCTGTTTAAGCAGCAATATTCTCAATCTTGATATTTTTTTTTTTTTTAAGATTGAGACGCAACTTGTTATGTGATTAAATGCGATTTTTATCGAAAGAGAGAGAAATAGAGGAAAAAATATTGTATATGGTACTTGCGATACACTCGATTTTGTCAAGTGTTTCTTCTTCTTCTTCTTCTTAGATAATCGCGATTTTAGTAAAATTTATCTTGCCGCGATATTTACGCGTTAGCAATTTTGTGCGTAATCACGGATGATATGTAATAATAACCCGTTAAAAAAAAAAAAAAAAATGAATTCTCATTTTCTTCGCACGGGTGCGATGATGTAGGTAAAAAAAAAAAGTTGTCCGAACCCAGAAGGTTGCGGTGTCGAATTTTATTTCAGTTTTTTATTTTTTTTTTTTTTTACAAATTTTCCCTTTTTTTTCTAACGCATGAATATTCCCTACATTGAAGTTATTAGAATTTTTTGTGAATTCAAAATTATCGAATTTATATTTAACAGAAGTTTAGGAAATTTCACTAAGGAGAATTTTAATTTAAACTTTTTCGTCTGCTAAACGCAAAACGCATGCGCCGAATTACGCGGTCTTTTTTTTGAATTTTATGTTTTTGTATTACGAGTTGATTAAGTATATTCACATTGAAAATCACAAACTTAACCTAAAATATTTATTAATCTAAAGTCCCTTCTTTCGTGGAGTGTCACTCATTTAAAAAAATATTCAATCAAAAATCTATTTTATAAAATTCTCTTAAATTCGATAATTTTTAATTCAACATCGCAAAAAAAAAAAAAATTCTTATCAATGTAGGGAATAATTTTGCTTTTTCATTTAGAATACTTCATTGCGGTGATAACGAACAATATAATTACAATATTCCAGTAAATTATTTCCTATTTTTTTTTTTTTTTAGTGAAAAAGACAATTTTTTGAAAACAAAACAATAATTTTTTCACGCACTTAAAATCGATGATCAAAAAATTTAAAAAATGAAAAATTATTTATTGAAAATTTAATTTCAATTTAAGTTAGAAATTTTTTTAATAAAATGTGATTGATAGAAAATTTGTAAATAAAAATGTTATTTTATTAAATTTCTTATTCAATTTTTCCCCGTTTTTTAATTTTTAAAAATTTGACTTATTTTCTTGTCTTAAATTACAAATTTTATTTTAAAAAAAAAACAATTTTCGATTTTAAAAAAAAATTTTGTTAAGTATTGTACTTATGCAAAATAACATTTTTAATTACAAATAATATAAATATATAGAAAGAAAATTAATGAAAGTTTTCATTGAAATTAGCTTAGCTTAGTTTATCAATAATTATTTATATATTTGATATTAGATAGGTATTTTGTGAATCAGAGTAATTGTAATATATATTTATTTCAATTACTTTTACCAGAATAACAAAGAAAGCGTGCTCATTGGCCTTTTATATTAGAAAAAAAAAATAAATAAGAAGATTTTTATGAATAATTATTATATATATCTATATAAAAATATTATATATACATATTCATATATATATACAATATACACATACATATTTATTGCCATATTTATTATATAATTATATATTATATATTATAAGCTTAAAGAATATTTAAGAATTTCATATTATTATTATTATTAAAAGAAAAATAAAAAAAAAAAAAAGAAACAAATGGGCATTTAAAGTTACAATTGTCATTTTTAAATTTTGTAGGACAAAAAAAAATGATGTTAAAGTTTCAAAAATTTGTAGAAGCATTTTGAAGTGCTTTTGAAAGTTTTTTTTTTTTAAAAAAGTAGTATATTTTGTAATTTAATTGAAATTTTTGTTTGCTATATTTTACAAAAATAACATTTTTTTTTCAATTACAAAAATAGAGAAAATATACAAAATTTATTTGTGATATTCTTTTTTTTCAAGTCAAATACAAATTATTTATTATAAAACTCGATTTGAAATTTATGATTTATTTTTCTCAAAATTTTTTTGTTTCTGATAATAATTTATTATTGAAAATAAATATTCTCTTTTTTTCAATATCAAAAATGAATTTCCTGATTTTTTTTTCATTTTGTCCTTATTTTGAATCCTTTTATTTAACTAATATTTTTATTTTAATTCGGAAAATGATTGTAAAATTTTAGCTGGTAAAAAATAAGTTTCACAAGATAAAATAGTAAAATTGTATATCTTAGGGGGAAAAAAAAAATTAAAAGTGCGTTAGAAATATTTTTTTTCTTCAATCCAATGGCAATGATTTACTGGAAAAAAGAAAATTTTGTTACTACTGTAACCTCGGTGGTTCGGATTGAGAGTTAAAAATAATAATAATAATAATAAAAAAAACAGTATAAGAAAAATATCTGAAATTGAAAATAGCACATAATGTATTTAATTGTCGCTTTCGGAGCGAGTCTACAATTAAGAGAAAGTCAATTATCAAGCATCTGTTTGTAGGCGAGTTGGCCGAGTGTTTTTTGTAAATTTTTTTTTTCTTTTTTTTTTTTTTTTGTAGAAAGAATTGTATCGTAGAAAGGAAGAAAACCTCGGATGAAAAAAAAAAAAACCCCCCTTCTAAAATATTTACACTATATATCTAAATTATGAGACCTTTAAAATGTACATAAAAAAAGTGTAGCATAGTTAAAAAAAAAAAAAAAAAAAAAAAAACCGTCTCCAAAAAGGAGTATCTAGAAATTTTAAGGGGGAAAAAAAAAATGAAAGGTCTCTTTAAGAATTTTTTTTTTCCAATTTAAGTGAGAAAGAAAAGCGTGAGCGAGCGAAATACTTGAACGATAGAATGCATTCGACATCGCGCAGTATTTATTCAATTTTTGATTTTGAATGCATTCTTTCGTTTCTAATCTATGTGGCACACACGGCACAAAAAAAAGACGGATTAATTCTCAAAAATTGAATAAAAGGCAAAAATTCATTTTTTTTTTTTAAAAAAAGTCTTCCTTGAAATTTAGAAAAAGTGATTTTTCTCGAAAATTGTTCAAAAAAAGAAATTAAAAACAAATTTTTTAAATATATTGCAATTGCCGAAAATTACAAATCTGAATCTCAATAATTTGTTTAAAAAAATCTCTGTAAATATTTATAAAAATAAATAATTTTGATTCAGAAAAAAATATCTCAGAAAATTAGCTAAAAAAAAGAATTTTTTCTAAATAATTATTCTTTCAAATTTTCATTTTTTCTTAAAATTAGTCTTTTTAATCATTTTTTTTTTTCACCTTTCAATTTTGAGAATAAAATCCGTTTAAAATGGTGAATCTTCCAAATAGTGATACATTCCATAAAATGAAAAAAAAAGTAGAGTCTTGTGGACATTTATCTAATCAAAAAAAAAGAAAAAAAAAAAAAAAAAAATATCGTTTCTAAAATAAATGAAACAGATTTAAGTAGCAGGTGAGCTGTAGACTAGAAAATAATAATAATAATAATAATAATAATAATTAATAATTAATAATTAAACAGTTGGAGTACGGCGAAAATTTAGAAGAGGAAACAAACTTCTAAATTCGCGGTGGGCCACTCGGATAAAAGTAGTTCGCTAAGGGCGTTGATTAAATATTATTCTCTTGTAAAATATTGGGGCCACAAAACATAATCTAAAGCGAGAAAGTGAAAGAGGAAGGAAGGATTATTATATACAGGTGCTCTGATTCTCAAAGTCAATTTTTCATTTAATTTCCAAAAAAAAAAAAGAAAAAACATTTTTGTTTTAATGAAAAAGGAAAAAAAATCCAAAAAAACAATTTTGTTTTAATAAAACAAAAAAAAAAACCAAATAATTGTTTTTCATAAGATTTTTTTTTTTTTTTTTTTTTTTTTAAATAGGGACCAACGATCAGGGCGAATCGATAAAAAAAATATCATTATCATGTCCTCTCGTTTCTTCCTGTAAAACAACAAATTTTTATATCTTAATCGATTTTCATCTTTTTCAAATTTTAACCATTTTTCTACAAAATTCTAAAAATTAAATTACTTTCACTCAAAATTTACAAAAAAAAAAAATCCAAGGCATTTTCAAAATTGCAACAAACTTTTTTTTTTAAACAAACGAAAAAAAAATGGAATTTTTCAAATCCTTTTTTTGATAATTATTTCTCAAAAAAAAAAAAAAAAATAATAATAATAATAATAATAATAATAATGAAGGAAAAAATTAAAACATTTTTTAAACAACACATTAATATTTGAAATTTAAATAGCTTGAAAAATAAATTTTTTTTGCGATGTCATTTTCTAATACTGAAAAAAAAATTATCGTAAATTTTTCCAATTTTAATAATATTCAACTATTAATTTTCTCATATGAATTTTTGTGGGATCAGTGTTTTTACAATGACACTTTTTTGATAATAATAATAATAATAATAATAATAATAATATTAATAATAATAATATTAATAATAATACAAGAAAAAAAAAATATTAATAAGTCGAGGCATTACATTACCTTTTTGACAATTGTAAATATCGAGTTGTGAAATAAAAAGAAATAAAAAAAAAAAAAGAAAAAATAAGGTGACACGTGTCCGTAGTTTACAATTTTTACACTGTAATTTCAATATAAAAAAGAAAAACTTACAATTTTCTGTTTGACGTGCGTTGCGACTTATTACAAAAAATTTTTTTTTTTTTTTTAAATCAAATTTCGCAATTATTTTTTTTATATATATATATATATATATAATTCGCTCTGCTCTTTAAGAGGGTCTTTCGTTCTTTTTTTTTTCAAAAAGTTATTAATTACGAGATGAAGTGTATATTACTCATAAAAAAAAAAAAAATTATTGTGATATAGATCTAATTAAGCAGAAAAAGAAAAAAAATTTCCTTCGTTCTCATTTGAGAAATTTATGGTTGTGATTTTTTAATCAGATTATTTTCAAAAAAAAAAAAAAAAGAAAAAAAAACCCCTCTAACAAATCTTGCGAAATAATAATAATATTAATAATAATAATAATAATTGTAATAATAATAATAATCAATTTTGTTCATAAATTATTCCGAGGCATTCCGAAATTTTACGAACAATATTCAAACCAAAATTTTCATTTATCATGGTAAAATTTTTTAAATAAAAATTAATTTTTTTTTTTGTTAAAAGAATTGAATTTAAAATAAATTTTTTTCATAATTAAATATTTGGAATTGATAAATTAGAAATTTATGGTTTGGATATTTATTGAAGGACAAATTTTTGTTATGAGATTTTCGAGTATATTTTACTCCTGTTATTTTCCGTGACGGAAAAAAATTACTCAAATGCAATAATAATTTAAAAAGAAAAAAAAAAATGAAAAAAAAAATATACGTGATAAGTAATTAATTCATTTGTTGTGAGAGACCCTCTTGAAAATGGCCATGGTACTTTTTTTTTTAATAAGCGTTTTTTTTTTTTTTGTTTTTTTTTTTCTTCCCCTCTCGACTCAATAAATATTACGAGCACGTGTCTTGCATAACATTGAGCGAAGTTCGTGCAACAATTTTTGTAAATATTTGCGTTTATGTTATATTTATATTTCTACAGGCGAAATATATATAGTTTTTAATGTATTGAAAAGTTTTTTTGTTTTTTTTTTTTACTCTGGCGACATCGTTATTTAACGAAAGAAAATTTGATATATGTAAACAAAAGAACTACTTTGTAAATAACAGCTATTGATTTATCAATTTTTTTTTTTTTTGTTGATTGTAAAATAATAGCTTTCGTATAGTTATTTTTATTTTCCTATTTTTTATTAAGTAATACTAATAATTATTGTTTTATCATTTATATTTAACTGATAATTTTTATAACGCGACAATATTTGTTTCCCTTTGGTCAATGATCTCAAAAAAAAAAAAAAATTCTTTTTCTTAAATTTGACCCTTTTTGCCGTATCATATTTTTTTTATATTTTAACACACTCTTTTCGTTAAAATTGTATAAATTTGTTGTGAAATACAATTTTTAATAATTGTACAGGCGATTGAGTATCATGGCACTTTAATGAAAAAAAAAAAAAAAAAAAAAACCTTCTTCCGTGAAACAGATAATTGTATGACATATGCATTGGATGAG